TTTTATATGTTATGAACTTCTTGAAATCTCAGCTTCCTACATATAAACATTTTCAAGAAACATTCCAAGCCCTTTAAATGTTTTGATACAATAACCTATGAGATTTACTTTATAAAGTTTGTAATACCAAAACATCATGCCTTATTATTTGTTAAACATTGTCAACTGACAATTTTTTACCATTTTTGCCCCGTCGATCACCAATAAATTCTTTCATTCATTCGCGGATTGGCAATTAATAAATAAAAGTTCTTTACAACAAAAAACTTTAACATTAAAAGAAAATCATTACCAAATTTGATCGTGAGATTCAAACTATTGTAACACGAAAATTATTGTTGCACTTCTGAACATAACTTTCAAATTTAAAAAATCTATGAAAAGAAAATTCGAGACAAATTTTTTTTTTAGATTAATAGACTCCCCTTTAAAGCTGAATCGAATGGTGGTAAGTTTTTTAAAATCCAATGTATGATAACATAATATTTCAAAAATTTTAACTTTTGAGTATAGATGATCCGCACTGTAGAGTGTGTGTTTGCAGATCATAGCCATGTGATAAATTATAATGTGATTCAATAAAAAGATTTTTATTTTATATGATAAAATACAGTCAGTAGACCTTTTTTTTTTGTTCTTATTCCGTACATTTTTTATTTTTATTTTTTAATTTTGTACGGAACGGGGACCAGTCTGTACGATCTTTGATTCCATATTTTTGTTCCATACAGAATATGATTTACTACAAAGGCGCAGATGTATGGAATACGGAACCTGTACAGACTGATAAATATATTTAAAAAATAAATGAAACTAAACTATTTATAATTTGCACACTTATTCAATATTAAAAGGCTATCTAGTGTGGATTGTTGTTGTGAGTTAAAATTAAGGTTGCTTGCCTAAACTCCTCCAGAAATCAATCAGCAGGGTTTCTGCGGGTTACTCATTAATTGTTTATTAGAGTTTCGGCAGAGTTTCGCATTTTGAGGTTTCGCCATTTCGGCATAGTTTCAACAGGATTTTTGATAAGATTTAATATAGTTTTGCTGTGGTTTCAGCAATTACTAAGGAGGTTTCACCCACAACCTTAGTTAAAATCAATTTTTTTGATTTTTCTTTTAGGACTTTTCAATAATTTAAAATCGTCCTCATTTAATTCTGATTGTTGGTCAACTAAATTATGGTCTTTATATACGTTTTGAAATGTTTATGAAGTCATAAGGAGATTGGCTTTCCTTATGTCATGTTGTTACAGCAAAACTTATGAATTAATATTAAAGTCATAGAGTAAGTCATAATGACATTCTTCTTTTTTATGATCCTTCAAATACGAATAATATAATGTAACTGCGAAGGATAATATGATATATACGAAGTAATCTTGACAAATGTATTTATGTTTACAATAATAAATATATTGTGACAATAAGCGCGTTCGAACTATTAATATTTAATAATTGAGAGTGACACACTGAATTTCTTGATTTGGTAATGATTACCTCAGATCATGGCCGTCGGCCGTTATAGGCAACATATAAAACATATGAGAGAATTTTCAGAGGCAGGTCGTTATACACTATAGGAAATTTAATTAAGAAAACCGTTATAGTGTAAGGTTTTTATATAGTAAAAAATTTGGGTTCTGATTCACAGTGCGTTATAGAATGGAGGCCATTACAGAAAGGGTCGTTATAGAGAGAGTGAACTGTAATAGGTGTACAAGGTGAGTGTTGACAAAATGATGATTATTGAGGGGATATTACTCCTTCTGTTACTAACAATATTCTTGTTTGCTTCTCTCTTCACTGTCAATAATAGCTTCCCAGGGATTAAGTTCAGAGACTACAACTGACGTTTTAAAAAATACTATGAAAGAGAATATACAATTGTGGTTTCAGAATTCCATACATGCATTAAACATCACATTCAAATATCTTAAGAGGTTGTCAATAAATAATTCCCCCTATGTAATAAAATATTAAATTAATTGTTAATAATAGACTTTTGTATTTGTTTGAAAATAAATGGTTTTTATTTAGAGTGCCTCAAGGAAGAAGCAACGGTAAAAGCGTTTTGCTTTAGCCAGTAAGCGAAGGGTTAGTACTGACGTTTGTTAATTAGTGTGCGTTAACAATGTTTAGTGAAGCATTGTCCAAGTGTGTTAATTGAAAAATACTGGTATTGTATATTTAACAAGCCATTCAAGTTGATTTGTAAATAAGTCAAAAGTGAGTTTACAATTGGCCAACAAGTGTTCATAAGTAAACAAAAAAGGACTTTTATAGAAGCCTTGAGTTTTGTAAGAGAGCCATATCTATTTGTTTGCATTTAGTTATCCTGTACCATCAAGTGTGTTTACAGATTCGCTGCAGATTTCAAGAGGCAGTAAACCTATTAATTGACAACACTGAGTTATTGAATATTAGCTGACAAGAGTGGCTCTAAAGTTAACCATAATCAACCATACTGGTTAAATAGTTGGCGTTAACAGAAAGGCTACCTTGCAATGTCATTTTTCTCTTAATGAGTTAAACATAATATAATATAATATTTTACATATAATACGTATAAATGCAATCTAATAATGCTTATTGTGTCAAAATTTCAGTCAAGGTAACAGAATAAGGAAGAAAAGTTTGATTTGCAGTTAGAGTTTTAGGATTAAAATTTTACCTTTCTCAATTATATAATTATAAAATCCCATCCATATTATTTTTCTTCTTCCAAAGATCCCTACTTTTATTAGGTTTCTTTTCCTGGTTTTTATTAAGTAATTTTTGAATATAGGAACATCATCAGTACCATTACTAATATCAATTAGTTACGATCGCATTATTCAGGATTATTAGTCTACATTTGGGGGCGTTCTAGGAAAAACGGGTTTCGAGTAATATATAAAAAAAATTTTTTTTTTGTGCAAACGATTGATTAAATTTGTTATATAGAAAATATACCTGTGTTTTACGATTTCCGTGTAATATTGATTAATAAAGCATGTATTCATTCATTTACCTTTAAAATTTAAATTTTATAGAAAGGTTAAATGTGACTACTATAATATTGATTTATAATATAGTTTTACTGTAATTATTTGTATGACATAAAGAACAGCCTTCTAACTTCATGATGTTAACATCATGATAGGGTTAACGGCTAATATTTTGTTGTTATAATATTTTATCGTCGCAGAAATTAATCGTTCCTGGTACGTGGTGTACAACCACAACGAAGAATTCAACTATACAAAGTACAGTCGTACAGCGAAATTTCAAATATATCAATTTTCAGAGACAGGAATACTATCAAATCTATAAACGACTTCACGAATTCTTTTTTATAAAAAAAAAAGTAGATTTTTTTTAGGAAAAAAACTTACTTTCTTTTCAAATCTCGTCTAAACCACTTTTAAGGATTACTTGCAGCTTTTTTTGTGAGTGATTCATTTTCTTCAACAGGTTCTTCTTTTGCTTTCTTTAGATCATTTTTTAATTTTTCATATCGAGAATTTACATTCAATTTTAAATGTGTAAAAATTTATAACGCTTAATAAGATCTCAAATTTTATTTTGTTTGGAGAATTTTTCTTAAAAATTAATCAAATACTTATTTTTATTAATATTGCTACTACTACTGTATTTAATAATTAAAGTAAAAGTTACTTAGAATACTAATTAATTATTAAATATTAAATGTTAAATATTAAATATTAAATGTTAAATATTAAATATTAAATGTTAAATATTAAATATTAAATATTAATGTTATTACAAATAATAATCTTCAAAATCTTTCAGTAATTAGTTTGTTATCACCAATAGCAAGCAATTCTTTGTCAAAATTTTCATCTTTATCTTCATCACCAATAATTCCAACAAATTTAAATTTAGAACTATGGTAAACAGCTAAAATATTTGTAACTGTTTCATTAAAAAGTTGTTTCAATATTACATCAAGGTTTTCTATTTTTGCAAAAAGTTTTTGATTGATAAGTTTTTGATAAGTTTCAATATCTTTACAAAACATTTCTGCTTTTGTAGTGACATGATTATTAATGGGTTTGGAATTCGTGATGCTTGGAGATATCTTAGATATCTTATTGATGATCTCGCTCAAATTTTTTGTAATTTCATCTTTCTCCAATTGAAAAGCGTAACAATCTGTGTTGTTAATGCCTAAAAATTTAAATTTATTAAATGTATATTCAATCTCCAAAAGGTCCAATGATATGCTAACAAAATTCAAATTATTTTTTTCAGCTTCTTTCAAGTCTTTTGCCATGATTTGATGAATGATTTGATGAATTGTTTTCATGGAATTAAAAATACGTTTGCCAAATTGAATCCAGTTATTAGTATCATTATTTTTGTTGTCATTGTTGGTGATCTTGATAATCATTAGGATTACTAGATTAATTTCATTTAATATAGTTTTTTGAGCTTCAAAAGATGTAAACAACATATGAGCATAAAAACTTTCATCTGTTTTCAATATAGAATTTCCACCTATCATTTGAACAATCAATTGCAAATTTTCTATATTTTTTGTAGAATTACATCCATGTTCATCTACAGTAAATTTTCCAAACTTATCTTCCAATGTCATTCCGTATTTTGACATACATCTACAAGTAATAATGAATCATATTAATTTTTTTTCTTTGAAAGGAAATAAAAAATTCGAATTCTGACAATACTTACATTTTCTTTAATGAATGAAAGAAAGCATTTATATGAGGTGAAAATCTTTTTTCATATATGAACTTGTACAAATTCTCATAATTATTTAAATATGAACTAATATGTTTTTTCCATAAGTTTTGGTATTTAATAGGAATGTCGTACAGATTCGTTATATTTCGAATTTCAAAAGTTTTGACAATTAAATAATTATTATTAGTTTCTTTTGTTTTTTTAGTATTAGTGTAATCCTCCTGATCATCGTAATTCCTAATTATATTTTGCAAATCTTTCAAAAATTTTTTTTCATTTGATTTTAAATTCTTGTAAAGCCCATTAAATTTTTCACTGATACTTTTAAACTGATGGATCCATTCAGGCAAATAATTTTTTCTTTGTGAATTGATTATACATTTTTTTATAATTCTACCATATCTACGTACATTTTTAACAGGACATCGACAATCTGGACAAGTTTCTAAATGCTCCGGCTCTGCTGTAAATGAACTAGTTGATTTCCATTGGTGTGATTTCTTATAATAATACTTTTGAATTTCCATGATTTCATCCATTTTTTTCATTGTAAAGACATGACCGCATTCTAATACAATCATGTTATTAGCATTCCAATCAACCTCTTCAAATTTTTTATCACCATCAACAACTAAAAAAATAATAATAATAAAATTAAAATTAATTATGTAAAAAATATGGAAAATTTTTAAAGATAAAAATTACCTTGTTTTTTAATATTATTAGATGCACACATTATACAATATTTTTCACTGGGACATACTTCACCACAAACACCATTACAACTATGTCCACATTTTAACTTCTTACCACATTTCATATCACAAGGCAAACGTGAACAAGGCAATGAACACAACGATTCACAATTTCCTTGATGTTCACAATACCAATCACATTTTCCCCAACAAATTTTACATGGCTGATCACAATTTCCTTTGCACTTAATATGTGAACACCCAAGATTGCAAGGTTGTTTACAATTTCCACATTCTTTTCCGACATGACAATTTTTTTCACAAAAATGTCCACAAGGTAAATTTCCTTTACATACCATTTTACACTTATATAAATCAACCGATATATAACACTAAAGAATTAATATTTAAAAAAAAACAATTATTAAAATAATCATATAGAAAATAATATATGTATATTATATATATATATATATATTACCATCATTGAATTTTCATGCCCACAATTTGGCAAAACACGATTAACACTTTTACGACATCTTATAAGAGATAAATCACGAGCTTCATAACATTTTGGATTCTTATAGGTATGACCACATGGTAACTTAAAATCATCAATAGGTAATAAACACTTTTCACAATTGTCTCCACAAAGTTCATAACATCGATGCTTGTGTTCATGCCCACAATTCGGCAAAGTGCGTTTAACAATTTTTTGACATCTTATAAGAGATAAATCACGAGCTTCATAACATTTTGGATTCTCGTAAGTATGACCACATGGTAACTTAAAATCATCAATAGGTAATAGACACTTTCCACAATTGTCCCCACAAAGTTCATAACATCGATGCTCATGTTCATGTCCACAATTTGGCAAAGTGCGTTTAACAATTTTTTGACATCGTATAAGAGATAAATTACGAGCTTCATGACATTTTGGATTCTCATAAATATGACCACATGTTAATTCTAAATCATCAATAGGGAATGGACACCATTTTCCACAATCATTTCCACAAAGTTCATAACATGGATGTTCATGTTCATGCCCACAATTTGGCAAAGTGCGTTTAACAATTTTTTGACAGCTTATAAGAGATAAATTACTATGACCACATGGTAATTTAGGACCATAAATAGGTAATATATACTTTTCACAATCATCTCCACAAAGCTTATAACATGGATGCTCATGTTCATGTCCACAATTTGGCAAAATGCGTTTAACACTTTTACGACACCTTATAAGAGATAAATCACGAGCTTCATAACATCTTGGATTCTCATAAATATGGCCACATGCTAATTCGAAATTATCAATAGGGAATAAACACTTTCCACAATCATTTCTACAAAGCTTATTACATGGATGCTCACATCCAGGATGTAATCTTGAACATTTCTTTTCACAAGGCATTTCCAAATGTCTTGAATTATCTGAATGACATTTTAATGGACCTAAAAAATTTTATTTTTATTTTGTAAAAAATAATTGATTAATTGACTATAACAACAATAATTGTTATATTATTCATCCAAAGAAAAAACTTACATGCATGACCACAAGGTAATTTATGTGTACAAGGTAGATGACAACCTCCATTAGGTGAAGCTTTCTCAATTTGATGAGCTTCTGTAATGATATTAACATATTCAGGATGATTACAACATGCTATAGGAAATCCAAAGCCAACTTGTGGTGGGTCTCGCTCTTTCAAAATATCAATAACAGGTTTCCACATTTCTGGTGATTTCTTTGACATTAACTTGGAATTGCCAATTAAATACATGCCATGTTTTGCACGAGACAATAAAACATTTGTACGATTATTAATTTTTAAAAATCCAATGGTTTCTTTTTGATTATGATCTTTTGAATCTAAAGAATTTCGAACAAGTGATATAATAACTATTTTGGCTTCTTCACCTTGAAAATTGTCAACAGTTCTTAATGTAACCTGTTGATTCAAATTTTTTTTAACAGTATCAACTTTAACATTGTTCTCATCAAAATAATCGTCACCATCTTTGTAGTCATCAATGTTTTGTTTATCACGTTCATCAATAATCACCATAACAGATTTAGACAAGGCATCTTGGAGTTTCATCAATTGTCCAAGGTAAGGTGTTAAAACTGCAATGTCATCTCGTTTTGTATAACCATTTTTAATAAAATGCTTCACCATTTCAACAACCATGTCAACTTCATATTGATTGGAATGAGATTGTAATACATGCTCGCTAAAATTCTTGTCTTCTTGATAACGATGATCAATGAAGTAAACATTGTGGAGTGCTCCTTTGACTTTATCATACTTAAATGTATCTTTATAGTCAACCAAATCTGGATACAATGTATGTCTGATAAGATCTGATATTTCTATTGCTCTCATACGTCTCTGGATTGTCAATTGACATTTATTTAATTTCATTGCGTTACTGCCCTCAACAAGCCTTTCAAAAAGACTTATATCCAATCCATATTGTTTACCTGCCTCTGATTCAACTGATAAATCATAAGTAGCACATTGTGGTCGTAATTGTTGATGATCACCAATTAGTATTAAGTGTTGAGTACAAGGTGCCAAAGAACATAATATATGTGCTTCAAGCACTTCACCAGCTTCTTCACAAATTACTATTTTGGGTGATACGGATCGGATCAATGATTGAAGTTTAGCTGCTCCACTGGTGGTCATACCAATAACATGGCAATCAGCCAGAATTCTATGTCGATTCTGAATATATATTTGATCAACTTGTTTTGCAATTATTTCGTAACTTTTTTTATATTGATAAAGTAAATCTAACCAATAATCATGTAAATCATCTGTCCAAGAATTGAATAATCTGACACGTTCAATCATTGACATTTGCCAAACATTAGTCTCTTTAATCAATTCTTCAATTGGCCTATCACCATTTGGTTCTTCCCAGTTTGGAATAAATTCCTTTATCTTTGGACTAATAAAAATTTCATCATCATCACCATCATCATGTTCATCATATTCCACCCGAACATTATAATTATAACTAACATCATTATAATATTCATAATAATTTATTCCGTTTAATTCTTCTGAAGCATCCAAATTTTCATTATTAGTTAAGCGTTGTTTATGTTTGTCATTTTTTCTGGTTGTAGAGTCATTGAAAAAGTTTACCCAACCTTTTGCATTATCTATATCTCGACCAGCCAACCATTGTCCAAAAATGCTATTATCTTTATTTTTTGATTTTTTTTTGCCAACTGATTTAAATTGCATATTATCACCATCCTCATCATCATCAAGCAAAAAAAATGGAGAATAATCTTGCCCATTAAATGTTCTAAAATGCCTCGGAAATTTTTGTCTTAAATGAATGGAAATATCATTCCACTTGAATTGTTTACAAGCCAATTTTTTCTGAATTTTGTTCACCATTACTTTGATTTTTTCAAGTGTTTCTATTAATTTACGCGATGGAATTCGTCTAAAATTGGTCTTATGGTATAATTCCTCAAGATTGTAATTTTTTATTTTGTCTGATTTGGTACGACCACCTAATCTCACAATTTTATTAAATCCGTTATCCAACAAATGCTAAGGTATAATAACAACAACAATAATAAATTAATTAATAATATGAATTTATTTGAAAAAGCAGAGAATTAATATTATACCTCCAAAAATTGATCTAAGGCATGATTTGTAAAACAGATGGCTAAAATTGGACCAAATTTTCCTTTAGTTCGATTTTCATGTGAAAGAAGAACTTTCATCAATTCTACACCAACAAAGGTTTTTCCTGTTCCAGGTGGGCCTAAAGCAAGGCAGAAATTAAAATGAGTAAATAAATGAGATATAATGCCATGATATATTTAGACAGTTATCAAAACCATACCTTGTATTAATGCAATTTCACGGCAAAGTGATGAAACTAAAGCTTCAGCTAATATTGATGATAATTATTAATGTCAATGTTGCGACTGAATAATTTGTTGATTTAAATATTAACACACGTATTAATTTACCTTGAGTATCATCCAATTTACTAGATTTAAGTTCATTGATAGCATTTCGATAAGAGTTAGGATCTTTGACATCTAAAAGAAGTCTCTTGCTTTTATTTTCAAGCAAAACTGATAAATCAAAATAAAAATCTGGTGCTTTTGCATAAACAGGGGCTTGAAGACCCATTAACTCATCCTCCTCTTTGGGTGGTGTCAGATATTGTACGAATGGTAATGTGGATGGCCTTGTACTCTGAATAGTCTTAAGAACATGATAATATGCTTCAAAGAATACCCCTGCAGGTTCCACCATAAAATTTGAAGAGTGAAAAGTATTTTTTTTTTGAAATATTTGCTTGATGGCAATTGGATAAACGGAATCACCTATAAGTTCAATTCCAATTTCTGCTCGTTCTTTGGACAAATCTGATTCATCTCTTGATGCGACAATTCCAAAAAAAAATGAATACTGATCATTGACCTTTTGAGATTTATCATTTGCAGGTGGCAATAATAAACATATCAAGCTTCCATTCATCAATTTTTTAGAATTTCTCCAATACAACCTCCTGTCATATGATGATCTCATATGTCGTTGTTTAAAAGAAACTTTGAGCAGGAAACCACAGCGTCTATCAACTGAAATATTTTCAAACTTGATATTGGAATAAACATATAATCCACCACCATTATGATTAAATTTACCACCGTCATTATAATACTCTCGGATTTTTGTTTGATTTACAGCTTGGTTGTCTGACATAAAACTTAAAAACTGAATTATGCCATTTTTAATAGGATGAAGCATATCTTCACGAAGCAATCTAAATTGTGAGTCTAGAAGTCTTTCGGCATTATTTTGAGTCCAATATAGTTCTAAACTTCCAGGAATATTAAATGTTGGTATAAAAGGTTCACGTACGCAAAGAATTTCATCTTTTGTAGGAGCAATTAGAATCTTGGTGAAATCTTCAAAATCGTTATCATGACGAGGTCCAAGTTCTGACAAGTTTCCTATTATATAAAAAATTTTTTAGCTTGCTTAAAAAATTAAAAATATTAAAAATTCCAAGATTAAGGAAAGATACCTGGTGGATCGTAATTTCTTTTCATATTTATAAATTTAAACTTTTCTCTATATGATTGCGATGAAGACTCTGGTTCCGATGAGTTTTTTTCTAAATAACTTGATTGTTTTCCTTGGGTTCTTATTAAAGACTTCTTCATACCATCGAATTCTATATCTAGAATTTCAAAGAAGAATTCACGTCCTTTATCATTTGAGATTAATGGATCATTTTGTTCATTTGTAGATTTGTTGAAAGACTTTCTCCATAAATCTTTGAGGTTTTCCAATTTTTTTGCTAGTATAAATGTTGATTCATTTATTGATGCTTCCTTAATACGATTTAATAATTCATTAACAAATCTTATTAAAACCAAGAAGAATTGACCAATTCTAAAAAATTTAAAAACATTAAATTGGTTTTTCTAAATACAAATAATATGATATATATATATAATATAAATTTTAGACGTACGAAGTTGGAATAAAAGAGATAGCATCATCTTTTAATAATTCATCTTGACTTGTGTGTTTATCTGCTATTGATTTTCTCTGAACAATAATTTCCAACATGGGAATAACTTTTTGTAAAATGAACGAATCCTTTTATTTATTTAACAATTAAAAATAAAATTTTTAGTAATTAGATATAATAATTGTATAATGTTTTTAAAAAAACGTTTTGTACCAAATTATTATAGATCAAATAATAAATTGCATGAACACTTGTTACACAAGTACTGCCAGTAATAGCTGAACGTGTTAATAAAGCAAAAAATGGCAAAGTAACACGTTGAAATGAGGCTACATTAGCTTGAAGACCAGCATCAACAGATACTTCATATTTTAATATTTCTTTTATTCTTTGTAATAACCCATTATCATTTCCTAACTCCAAAGTTAATTCATTAACATCATGATCGACTTTTTTATCAACTGTAAAAAGACAAGAATTAATAAACCGTCTGATTTGATGTTGATTAAGGAATCCCTTTATTTTATAACGTTTCCAAAGGTCTTTTAATTGATAATCAAGTTCAGCGTTAGCGAATACTATTTCATCACTTCTTCGATATGATAATACAGAAGAACTAAAAGTTTGGTTTAATGTTTCAGTTTGTCTATTCTCAACATCTTGTGGTAAAATGTGTGCATTAGAACGTTGTTGGTGAGGGTTATTACCCTTATTATTACTACCACCACCACGATTGTTTCGGTTAAAATTTTGGTAATTTTTATTTCTTCTTGTCATGATAGTTGTAATTTTAATATTTTAAAAATATTTGAATCACTTTGCAATGACAAAAAAGACAAAAAATAATTTTTTGACTGTCATTTATATAAAATTTTTCGTGTGTGTGTTACACAAAGTGTCATTGTCATCAAATTTGGAAAAGAATTGTTTTTATTTGAAATTAAAATATTAATATTGATATTGTAGTTTCGAATTCGTGCAACAAGAGGTCCTGTGATTCCCGATTTGGAAATTTCAATCGTGGCCTTTCCCGAAAAAGATAAGTGATTACTATTAAAAAAATATATTTCCCGTTTTTCAGTAAAAAAATAAAGAAAAAAATAATAATGTTCGGAACATTCATAATTTATTGAATAAAGAAGAAGAAGATAATCCATGGCAAGTTATTTATTGTTGCATTCATTCTACATCCGGAAGATGACGATCCCATGGCAAGTTATTATTATTTATTATTATTACCTATTATTATTGCATTCATTCTACACCCGGAAAACAATAAAAACTAAACCTATAAAATATGTATAAAATGGGATTTGCGTATATACAGGCAGATATTTTAAAATTACTGAATTATTTAATTTAAATTGATTTGCAGTTACATAAACATTGAATCTTATTTTTGTTGGTGATGGGTGTTAATTTTAATGATGATATTGTACAAATAATGGAAGAAATTTCTACTTCTAAATATTCCATCAAAAAATTCTCAACTTTTAGTAATTAAAAAAAAAATATATCTGGCAAAAATGAATAATAAGAATAATAATATATACGTTTATACGTTTAAGAGTGAATTTCAATTGGTGATCGGCGGGGTGCATTTGTAACAGTAAAATCATCCTCTTTTTTTATGTTCTCTACTAAACATGTTATCCAATTTATTTATGGTAACTCTACTCTTTTTTTAGATCTGCAAGCATAGTTTCAGCAGTAAATCTATTCTTCTCAATTACATTTCCTGTCAAAAAATAGACTTTTAGAAGTTGTTTTACTTGCGTCAGGTGTGCACTTACTTCTACTACGAAGAGCCCAAGTAATTCATTCTAAATTTTAAAATTCGTTAATTTAACATCTAGAAAATATTTATTATATTAATTTTTTTCCTATTTACAGTTCACTCTTTCTATAATGGACCATTTGCTTAGGAAAAAATGTCCGTTATAGACAACAACAACAATAATTTATTATTATATAAATTAGGCTTAAATTCTCAGTTCATTATAGAACAAGATCTGTTATAGAAGGATCAATTATAAAGTGAACTGTAGAGAGAATTTGTTATAGACAATAATAATTTATATATGGGACATTTAAATTCTCAGCCTGTTATTATTATAGAAAGGTCCGTTATAGAGAGTGAACTGTACTTTATTCGTTTTTTTAATTGCTTCATCTTAATTTCCTGGTATCATTAATGGCACTTTTTTTTAAAATTGATATGGATGGTACATTGTTTAACACTGCACCTTGGGAATGAAAATATTTATTTAGATTTATATAATATACACCTTTTGATTTTGTTTAGACTTTCTTCTCCAATTTGCTTTTCATAGTGTAAATGAGGAATGATTGAACCTAATGAAATGAAATTTACTTTTAATAAGGGTTGGTTGGAGATTATTGAGGTATACGCGTTTTATTAATGTGATTATCCCTATTTAGAACCAATGCAGATCACTCATTATTAAAAAAATTTCTTTGTTATAATAATAAGAACACCCATGGGTAAAGCCAAAATGTGTTCTTAATAAGAGGTGTTCTTATACAGAGGGAATCTCCATTAAAGAACAATATTATAATGCCACTACATGCTGTCGCTATAGAGAGGTTTTCAATTATTTCATTAAATGAGAAAAATGACAAATCGATGACTTTTGATAACAAAATAACATAATTCTTTATTATCAACATTATTATTATTAGTATTAACATCATTTTTAATTACATAGCCATCAATGTTTGATCAATTAACTTCTCATATAGTATGTACCAATTTTTTCACTGCTATCCTACGTTTTGCTAGTGTCTGGTTTGGCGCCATTCGTAAAAAAAATAAAAATACTGTCTCATCTGGATTAAATGCATTTATAGGATCAAACCTTAAAATTACCTTTTGTAATTACTTCATTCTTCTGGAAGTGATTCAATGGAAGCATTTGCCCCTTCACCATGAATTTATAAATTACCAATTGATTTCTTAACATTTGGACCCATCCATTTGAAAAATAGAAATCATCTTATCTATCTAAAAGGTTTGCAAAATTCCGGCCTTTCTCTTCAAGCAATTGAAATTTTTATTTTTATTTTTTTAATTAGGAATCGTTGAATGACCAATCCCAAGACCTGGATATTTATTATTAAAAAAGTCAGCAATACTTTGTTGCTTTGAATTAATATGTTTTTGAGCATAAATACATATATCGAGGTAATTTAGAAATATTACTGAAAAATTCCTAGTTCTTATACAGAGGATTCTTATATATACAAAGAAAATCATAACTAAATTTATGGCGGGACAGAAAACAACTGATTTTTATTGGATATATAGTTTTGAGTTTTTTTAACTAGTGAGTGGTAATGTCTTTTAAAACACGATTAATTTTCTTTTCCTGCTACGAATGCACTTTATTTTGTACATAATTAATCGAATTAACAATTTTAGTAAAGAGCAACTTGATCACGGTAAAAAATCAATATCATTACACGTCATTTATATAAGCAAAAACTTCATTTCCCAAAATCAATAATGTAAATACTATTTATACCATCAACTAATACCAATTCTAATCCTAATAAACAATAATAATGGTAAATTTCAATTAAACCGATTTGAAAAATTATAATAGCAATAGCAATAGGTAGAGTTTTAGCCACACGATTTTACATAAATAATCTAAAAGATAATTTTCGGTGTATAATAAATCTAAAAAATTGGAGATAACATATTGATATTTACAATTTAATATTTTGTCACTAAATGAAAGTAAAATATTGTTTAATACATACAATATTGTTTCCTTCTCCATTATTTCCAAAAGTCAATTACAACGAAAAGATTTTCTTATATATTCTCAATAACGATAATGAATTGATTATCTTCATAAAATACCTTTCATGACTTCCACGAAAATAGGTATTATCTTGCTATTTATCCTTTGCTAATAAAATCACATGACTACACTATACTCTTGATCGTTCGAATGCTAGACTCCCTTTGATCGTTACGCCTCCATACTCCTAATAGCATTCTGTTTGGAATGTACCGCCAGAAGAGCTGAAGAGGCACGCAGTGCCTCACAGTATTCTCTTCGGATTGCTAGACTCACTTTTGGTCGTCAGAGAGGCATTACATTCCTCAACAGCTTGAATTAGTTGATATTGTGTAGGATTGGTTCTATACAAAGATTAATGGTTAGCTTTTTGCTATACTGTATATGAAATCGGGTTCGCAGATGGATTGCGCAATAATAATATAGCAAAAATGGGTCAAAATTTGTCGAAAAAATAGCATCTGTCTCAGAACCAATAATTTGTGTCATCAACATGAGTTTTATACTAATTTTTGGTGTAGGAATGCCAACTGATTTGGTGTCTTTTCTATTCTATCCTAACTTGACAAACACTCGTAATCGATCGTAGGCCACTCCAACATTTCAAGTACGTCCTCAATAGGACTCTGGTGATGGTATAGTGCCTCTTAAAAAGTGGATTAGTGTTCCGTGTCGCAACCCAAAAAAGGAAACAAAATGATCGTAAAGGCGGTTGCAATCATTTTTATATGACGCAAAGGTGGTAGCAACCATCATCAAAAGTTGCAGCCGGTATCCTTAAAGTGGATGCTTCCTCTAATCAATAGAAAATTCACATTAACTTGGATTTCATGTAACACATCCATCATCAAGCTGAGTATTATCCTTCTTGATATCTGGCCCAGAAGTTGCTTACATTGACAGTTTTTTTCGGCTTTACAGCAATAAATCATGAAAAACATAATGAGTACAATACTGCAAAAAATTTTCTCAAAATAGTTTCAGTATGCAAGCATATCACTTATCATACCTAAAGTTCCAGTCTGAAGAAGGGGCACACATATATCAGCAGAGTTGTAACCTTCCCATTACATGCATGTTAGCTGAGGGCATAATATCCCAATAATTTCTTGAATCCATGGCTCACACGCCCACTAGTGTTCTGTATTGCAATCCAAAAAAGGAAAGAAAATTGATCGCAAAGGTGGTGCAATCAGGTGGCGCAATCAATTTTATATGACGCAAGGTGGTTGCAACCATCATCAAAAGTTGTAGTCGAAATCCATAACACCTATCAGCAAGTCAAAACCTTTCCCATTATTATTATGTCTTGTCATGTAATGGTAGATATCTCCCAAGGTCACATTGCACATCAGTAGCTGATGGTATGACTATTTTTCTATAGTTTCTTGAAATCTATTATAGACCTAAGCAATCATTTATCAAATCGTAACTGGTGACATGCCACCCACCTTCATCATTGTTATTATGAAAAATGCTTTAATACGTGTACTTTTATCTTGCTGTTTTCTCCAAAAGTTTTCGCTACTAATGAAGAACGTTAACACTTTACCATCATTCATCATCATTTTGAACTTACTATTATAACCCGACGATCTGTTCCGTATGTTTTAGTCAATATAACTATTTATGGAATAATTAATTTTTGAGAGCCAATCATACTCGAGTTCATCAGAGAAAATCTTGATCACATAAAATCAACTAAAATATCCATCTATATAATTTTTTTTTTATTTTTTTTTTAAAAAAAATTTTCTTTTATACCTCAAAACCCTCCAAGACAACTTCAAGGAAAGTCACCAGTTCTTAACCGGCAACCAAACCTTACTTTACGAAAAAACGGGCTTACATTTAAAAAAGATTGCTTGATTTTTGGTTTTGAATTTAATTCAAGCTACAATATTCTTTCTCATTCACGTCCTTGATGTGCAGTGCGCAGATTATTTTGATTCCACTCATCTCCTGCAAGATAGATGCAACGAAATTACAGAGGGATGGAGCTCTGATTTACACACACGATCGTTAGTCCTAGGATTAATTGGTTGATTGCGTGTTTGGTTGCATCCGAGTTCTTTAAAGAACTCGTTGGAGGTCTCTCCTATGCGTTCGAGCCTAACATCTCATGACCTTTGCATGAGTTGACCTTGGGGCTCGTTGTAGTGTGTTAAAGACAATTTATTAAATCCAACACCCAAATTTGATAATATTGGATTTAAAATTTTTTTTAAAAAAACAATCAAAACGGGACTTCAGAGACGACAATGACAACAACGACGACAACTCATCACTAAAACATTTCCCACTACAAGGTAATAAATAAAACTTTCATACTAATTTTAATAAAATAAAGTTTTAATGCGTTGGGTTTAATATTATTTTTGGAAATAATATACGCCAGGATGGAGACCAAGAAGAGACTCGACCAGTAAAACCTTACCGCTATTTTTGGATAACAAGGTAATGGAGTTTTTATCATACATGAGAAATTTCAACAAATATCGAGTTTTATTTTCCCAACTCTTGCTAATTTTCTCATATTTACTTGTTAGGAAATTACGAGCAGGGCTGGCAGCGTAACTTAAATAAGTAGTTGGCTAAACTGACTAGCTATTTATTCATATGTTAAGTAAAAAAAATTATTGTTGAATTAGGATTTTTAATTCCTATACGCTGCCAGCCCTGATTACGATGCATTTTTATTTATTGCATGGTCTTAGTATTATTATTACTAGGGTGATGCAATTTGCAGCCTATTTATAATAAAAAACTTCATTGCTTTATCAAAGACGAGGAAAATTGTCTGAATGTTTATTTTGATTTGGGCCGATTGCAATCTTGCTTTGGTTTATCTAAAAAACAGCTTAATTAACAGCCTTATGTTGTTGGTTAAGAATAAATAATACCACCCTTTGCTCACTCACTAAAGCAAATAATCGTTATTATTACTCGCTAGTTTCAACTTCAATTTATTTTCCAAAATAAGATTCTACTATAAAACATTTATATAATTTTTTCCTTTGGCTTCTTGATTCCTTCATATTTCGATATCCTACTTTTTAATATTTAAAAACCACTTTCCTTTCTTTATCCCTTTACTAATGTTGACAATCTTATCATTTACAATGTTTGTAAAATCCGCAATTAGTTCTAGCACTTTAACCGGCATTGCAATCTGTCGTATAGAAGACATGGATTTATTGAACAAATCACGAGGCATCTCGGTATAATCCAGAAAAAGGTATTTATAAAGTCACCATCGGGAATATCTTGTGTTTTATTAGTCAATTGCGTCCAAGTATTTCGTAACATTATCTATATTTGATATAAAATCAATGCAAGCGAGACACTAACGTGGTAAAAAAATATTTTGTAACTATGATACAGGTAATGCCAATTACACCACTATTTGGTCTATTCGCTATATTATTCATGACTGAAGCATCAATTACTCATAACGATAACAATTACCTTGTTTTATCAACTTTGTTTGTGTCTACGATTCAACAGATGCTAGCTTTTCTAAAATATTGGAAGCAACAAAAAAAATCAGAACTAACGGAGAATGGTTTAAAAAAAAAAACTTTGTATAGATCATTTGTAACGGGGTAGAATGGTCTTTCCCAGAATTAAGTCAAAAATCAATTCAATAATCAACAAGTTCATCTACTAGAAGAATTTAGTTACAATTGTTCTTCAGTGTTCTCATGAATGTAATCTCTTTAAATTCATAAAGTGTAAATAAATTTAATATAAATCTTACCATACCAAAAATCGATTC